CTCTCTCTCTCTCTCTCTCTCTCTCTCTCTCTCTGTGTCCCCATGTTCCTGTCCCCCTCCGTCCGCTCTCCCTCTCTGTCTCTCTCTCAGTCTCTCTCACACGTGCAAGCGGGTGTGTGATTGGCCCAGACTGAGTGATGTACTGCACATGCATGGGGCATTTGTCTGTCTGTTAGGCAGTCAGGAATGCTGAAAAGTCACAAAAGTGTATATTGGTCAAGCTCATCCTCCTGTTCTTTCTGGCTGACTGGTTACATCTCTGTGCTGGCAATTGCAGGCTTTGTACAGTCTTGCCTATCTTTATGAGTTTGGCATCCACGTTGAGCAGAACTTCACCAAGGCCAGGGAGCTACTGGATCAAGCCCTCTCAATCGAAACGCTAAAGGCTGAAGTTGTGCCGCTCATGACCGTACTGATTCGGTTATGGGTCCATCATACGTGTGCTTCTGTCTGGCGAACTTTGTCAGCACCTGTCAAAGAACTTGGTGAGTATTCGATGCTTAAACCATGTCCTCTATCCTTTGTCGTGTGGAAAATCTTTATTTTGAAGAAAACACTAGGCTATATTCTTCTCTCACTTGGTACCCCACGCTACCTACCTACATGTCTAAGCAACGCAACCTACGTCGAAGCACCGGAGGAAGGGGCAACCAAAATCTACTAGGTATCGAGGAAGCCGAAACGGGCCGGCGAAGGCCCCAGCGAAATCTACCAGGTATAGAGGCAGTCGAAATGGGGGGGGCAAAGGCCTCCAGGAAGGGGCAACCGAAATCGACCAGGTATAGAGGCAGCCGAAATGGAGGGGCAGCCAAAATCTACTAGACCTCGGAACCCAACCCCCACCAGCAAGGAATGGCAGGTGTGAAGGCCACTGACCTCCGACTCTCTGAGAGAACCCAGGACCCTACCAAGGCCGATTAGGGGGGGCAAGCCAACTCTCTCAAGATTTTTGAATCTCAACTGATGAACACCAAGCACGCTGCAGACGGCTGTGGGGGATTGAACCCACAACCTCCTTAATGGCACAACTTGCATGCGAAATCAACTGAGCTAGACCGGTGGCCCTTCTGTAGAAAATCTTAAAATCCAATCCTATCCGATTTTTGTGTCCTTTCTGTACAAATAAAGCTCATCCAAAATCTTTTTTCGTTTTTTTTCTCAACAAACAAAACAGGGCCTTATGGTCCTGGCTCCATAATGAGTCCATATCCATTCTGGGGAGCATCAGTCCGGTTCCTTTTCCCCCGGCAAGTCGATAGGAGTACATCAATCTTTCACACACTCATGCAAAATCTTATCTTTTGCGGCCCATGCTTGCGGCGCATCACGTGCGCGCGAGTTGCGCACATGCGGCGCATCCCGGAAAAATATTGGAAAGGCTGTAATAAAATTCTGGAAGGGCTGTTGTGTGATGACCAAACACGCCGCCTCCCTTCTAAAAATTCAGACTCTTTTCAGAGTGCGAAAGAAAAAAAAAATTGGGGCCACGTCACGCCCAAAAACTGTGTATGTACGTTTTATTCGAATCCGATCTCTTTTCCAAAGGACCCTTGCAGAAAACTGGCAAGAGCTCATCATCAGACAGAGATGGTTGTTGAAGTAGGAGTAGGGCATCGGCAGGCCAAGAATATATGCTCTGGATTGTGGAGCAGTTATGGGTCGCTTACTTCACTACACCAGATCTTTGCACGCGATTCTCTTTTTTTGGTTTCTTCTTCTTCTCTTAGGAATATGTGGAGTGGCCCTAACTCTTGGTACACTACTCACTGTATGCGCAAGTGCCGTACAGTTCCATGCTCTAGGAGAAGATACATTCTTATTTTGCACATTCAGTGAGAAGTTCTGAGAATCGCGTACAGAGCCCAACAGGGCCTGGCTAAGTTGGCAACCGATAACTCGTTAAACATGGACCTGAATTCGAATTCACACTATGTATTCATGGGTGGTTCATGGCCGGCTCATGCGCGTGCAACTACGGTGCTGCCCATCCCTGCTTGGTGATAGGACCTTTGCTTACTACTGAGTGGAGGGACCCCTCAGATTCCTTGCAGGTGCCCTCTGATTTATGTGAAAGAGGACATCTCTCTCTCTCTCTCTCTCTCTCTCTCTCTCTCTCTCTCTCTCTCTCTCTCTCTCTCTCT